TTTGTGCAGTGTTGCTTTTCTATATTGTTTGTCACTGGATTTATTTAGCAGAGGTATATCATGTATTTCTCATTTGCAAGATGCAGTACTACATACAAATACGTATTATAGTGTAAGCATGTTCCTTACCCTTCAGAAATTCACACAAATGTGTGAAAGATTATGTGATGAAATATAGATGCTTATCAAATCGATTGTAGGGAAAGAATAGTCATACTTCAATTGGTGGCAATTTTATGGGATACAGGCTGATCTAAATGGAGCAAATGGAAAAAAAAGCTAAAGTAAAAAAAAAAGCACAATAATTTTCTTTTAAGAGGACCTGCTGCTTTTACATGTAACAATATCTCTATTTTGTGAGGGTGCATATTCCATACCAAAAGTAGAAAGATCTGTAAGATGCAAAGAATTAGCTAAGTAAATTAGAATCTAGAAAATGGACGAAAAGTCCATTATCTCAGTGGCTTATGAGTAATGGAATTGGATATTTTGGATTTCCTATTTCATATATTTTAAGCATCTAGTTAAGAATTATGACCTCCTTCTGAATAAGTATAAAGCCCTTGAAATAATGACCTGGGAACAAAGTATAGAAGTTCATTTGTTCGAAGATTCAACAACATACAGATTGCTTGAAATCAGAAACCAAACTATCTTCCTTCTACAATGCTTTAGTCCTAACATTTTGCTTTCTATGTGTAAACAAGAAATTCTTATTTTATGCTGAATTATAATAATTCTTGGACTGAGGGCATGAAAAAATATAATTTAATGGTTGTGTAGTATTAGTCCAAGTTTTTTAGAATTAAACTTTGAGGTACTCTAATGCTGTAAACATTGTGTCCTAGTGGAATTTTTAACAGGAAACATGTTTGGAAGATTAGAAAGGTAAGATGGGATGTAAAAATGATCTCAGGGGTGCCTGGGTGGCTCAGTGGGTTAAAGCCTCTGCCTTCGGCTCAGGTCATGATCCCAGGTTTCTGGGATTGAGCCCCACATCAGGCTTTCTGCTCAGTGGGGAGCCTGCTTCCTCCTGTCTCTCTGCCTGCCTCTCTGCCTACTTGTGATCTCTCTCTGTCAAATAAATAAATAAAATCTTTAAAAAAAAATGATCTCAAACTCTTTGAAAAGTTAGCATAGCATTATTTTACAGAATAGTTTCTTTGGTTTATTTACACCTTTACTGGCTTAACTTCACCAAAACAAGCAAACTGTAGGACTGTGAAAGGGGAACATCCAATATGAATCTGAGATAATACGAGGAGATGGGGGGGGAATGAAGTCCTGTTTTGTTTTTCAAAAAAGCAAGCTTTTCCTAAAAATGTCATCTGTGAAAGTCAAGGAAGAAACTTTAAATTCAACTCTTATTACTTGAACTTACTTTCTGATTTTCCTATCCCTAGAATGTCGTAAGGATCACTCAAAAAGTAAAAAACAGCATGTTTGAAATCTGTGTCTCAACAAATGTCCCAAAGAACTAGCTGAATTTCCTTAGCCTTAACTTTAGTTTGAGGCTTTCAAAGTCAATAATTCTTGACACACAATTCCTGCTCCTATTAATTGTCAAAAAGTGAATGGAACTATCTTTAGGGAAGTCTTTAGTTCAGACTTTACCATCCTGCAACTAAAACTGCTGGCCTTGTTCCCATCCACAACTTTGATATTCTTGGACCAGAGACCAGAAGAAGCTTCCACTCACCTAATGATGATCAATTAAGCCCTGTGTCAGACATGATACAAGATACTATAATACAAAGATGAATAATGCAGACCAATATGGGAAGTGCTATGCTAAGGATACATAAATAGTGCCTTAGAAGGTACACCTATGCCTGGAGGAGAGGGAGAAGGAGGAAGGCTGAGAAAGCAATGCTAAAACTGAGTCTTAAAGAATGGATAGGAGGGACTTAGCAGGCTACAGGCAGGGCAGACCATGCTGGGCATATAGTAAATGCCTAAATATATCAGTAACAATCCAGTGGCAGAATCAAGGAACTCAAGGCAGGACAAAATGGAGAGTATAAACCTTCACCAGAGGCCGTTGGTGTGTCAAGGATGGAGCGAAGATATTTTCCTGGAAGGGTTCAGAGGGTGATTCAAGGAGGAGATGATGTTTGTTCTGATAGTAAGGGTAGAGTAAAACTGACAGGTGGAAGAGGGAAAGGATGTCATCCTAGTTAAGAAATTTTGCAAAAGGCAGATAGGAAAGAAAGTACATGGTCATCTTCTTCTATTTATGCTCTCACCCTAGAGAGCTCATCTAATCCTGTGGCATCAAATACCATTTTAAGTGGATATTTCCTTAATTCAGATCTCCATCCTTGAATCAACCCTTGAGCTACCCATCTGCACCCTCCATATATTTATTTGGAATCTTCACTTCAAGGTCTTACAGTCATGTCAATTGTTCAATGTTCAATACTGAGCTCCTGATTGTCTTTCTTTCCCAAACCTGTTATTCTTCTAATCTTCCATCTCAGTTATTGGTTTAATCATTCATCTGGTTGCTCTAGCAAAAATCTAGATTCCCTTTTTCTTCAAACTTCATACCCAATCCCCCAGTGAGCAGTCTGGCTCCATTCAAAAGCCATCTCAAGTCTGCACACTTCCCTTCATCTCCTGGTCCAAGTGATCATTTTTGCCTTATTCTTCTATCTGGTCTCCTTGTTTCTCCTTTGCTCCTTTACTATCCATTCTTCACCCAATATCCAGAACTACCTTTTAAAAATATTAGTCAGATAATGTCACTCCCTGCTTTAAATTCTTCAATAGCGTTTCCTTGTTTCTAGACCTTAAATCCTCACCTAATCACTTAGCCCCCAGCTAGCTTCTCAGTCTCACTTCCATTTCTAACTCACACCACATGCTCAGCCATGCTGGCTTCTTCCCAGTCTGAAAATGCACAAGGTCTTTCCCTACTCAATGCTGTTGTACCTAGAGCTCCCACTTCTGTGGTGATCATTCTCATTGTCTCACAATCATCTTCCAAGTTTTGATTCAAATGTCATTACAAAAATACGCCTTCTAATGAAAATTCTACCCCAAACTTTCTAAATCATTACTATACTTATTTCCTTCTTGGAACTTGACATGTAATATTCTGTTCATTCATTTATGTGTTTATTCTCTTTCTCTCTCTCTTTCTAGAAGTCCCAGCTCTATGAGGCTGAGGCCTTATTTCTCTTTAAGCATCATATCCCAAGTACACAGCACAGTACCTGGCTTAAAGCATGTGTTCAATAAATATTTGCTTAACAAATGAGTACCAAAGTCAGTAATATCTTAAGACTGGAGATAACGGTTGACAGAATTAAATACACAAGAGACATTATGTAAAATAAGGATTGAGAAGGATCATTTAGTTTGCTCATTTAGTTTGTCACTGGTGAGAATAGTGAACTTGGTGGGAAGGCAGAGGTGGGAAAGTCATGGATGAGAAATAAAAATAGGAGATGTGAAATTCAAGAACAGTAAGTATTCTAAGATGCTTGACTGAAAAAGGAACAATGAAGGGACAGTCTTGGGTATCTAAAGAAAATTATTTTAAATTTTGTAAATGGGTGAGATTTGTACGTATTTCCATGTGAGGAGAAGGAAGCAGCACAGACAAAGAGATTGGAAGTACGAAAGGAAGAGAGGTAGATGATAGAGTAAGGTTATGGAGAAGACGGAAATGGGGAGTAGAATCTGGAACCCATTTTGTACAAATGAATGACATCTCTTCTTCTGAGGGGCAAGGCGTCAAGAAAGGTTTCATTTAGAGCCTCCATTTTTCCTGGTAAAAGTGAAGAAAGAGGTAGTTATAGATCTTAACCTAGTGAACAGGTTTTGGAATGTAGCCATGAGAAATTAAGAGTCATTAACCAGGAATTCATAAAAGGAATGCTGGTTATTAATGAAGATTCAGTTGAAACCATAAATTTGTAGAAATTTTGTAGAAATAAATTTTGTAGAAAATTTTATCGAAAAAGTTTCACAATTGTGTAATTCATTCGTCAATCAAAAAATTTTTTGGTATATACTATGGTCTAAACCCTTTAATTAATGTTGGAAGTACCAAAATAAATCACATTTTCTGAAGTCTAGCGGGGGAGAAACAAGCATATTAATTAGTGTCTTCCACAATAGACCTTCTGCTGACAGTTACTCACTATCATTCACCATTGAGGTACTCTGCTTTTTCCAGCAAGATCCAGTCTCTTGAGTCACACACAACATGACAAGCCAGAGTGGTTGAAGGGGCCTCTGTCAAATAAGCATTAACTTCAACTGTCCCACCTGCGGAACTAGGGGAACCCTGAATAATGGTTTCATCCTCCTGAAAATCCATATGAGTGCTTTCAGTTTTCTCAGTCTGCCTCCATTTTCAGAGAAGGAAAGTAAAACAGGTCTAGGAAGAACAAAGCTCTCACCTTTCTGAGCTTGATAAATTTGTCCTTTATTTTACCACATAAGTCAGAACTACTATATATCACAACCCTGCTAATTTTTTCTTCTCCTCCTTCCTCCCACCTATCTCCTGCCACTTCCCCAGAAGCATAAAGCTTTCAACATCCTGCTGTCCATTAGCATAAATAAACCCTTGCTTTTAAAGTAAAAATGGGTTTAATGCTATATTTGTTAAAGACTGCATTATCGTAAGAGGATAAAAATATTCTTGAGTAACAGGTAGATCATAGATTTTAGAGATAACATGCTTCTATTGTGGTTCTCTGAAAGTCAATTATTTTTACCATAGATTTAAACTTCAGATCTCAGCATAAGTTACATTTCCACTTTAGAAGTTGTTAAACCATGCAGTTTCTCAAGACATGTACCTTCATGTTTTCATTTTTATTTGTTTTCAATATACTGTAGGCAGATCTAAGAAATGAAAAAAGATAACATGCCATTAAATTTAATAGTGGCTATATGAACCAGGAGATATGTTGTTATAACTTTTCTCTTCATTTTGACTTAGCTATTGTTAATTTAAATTTTATATATCATTTGTACTATAGATAAGGAAATACTGGGCTAAGAAAGAACAGAAATGGCAAGAAATGGAAATAAGAGATCTTCAGCGTCTGGAAGAACTGAAGAAATTAATGGCTGAACAGTCAGTGAAAGACAGAGAAAGGTAAAAGAAAAATCCTAAATTGCATAGTAATGGAGAGGTGGTTAGAGTAAACAGAGGGAGCATTTTTCTAAACTTAATGTATTCTTACAATATTTATATTCACAAATAGATAAAGTCACACTTATAATGTATTTCAGTCTCTCATATTCATACACAAATCTCTAGTTTGTGATTTAGTTACTTAGATAGCTTCCAAGTTCAAACCCTCACAGATGATTTCATAGTATTTGATTGCCCACTGTGTGCATGAAATGATACTGGCTGCTGCTATGACTTAATATGGTGACATAGAAGGAGGAAACCATTATTCAGAAAAGAAGGGAGACCCATTTATTGTGACTATGGCTGGGGAAGACAATGCACAATTATACTGTGTATGTGATTAATTCTAGTATACTTAGAATGCACCCTATGTAGGAAAACACAGAGGATTTCTTGGAATAGTGTAATTTTAGAGCTGAAGAGGACATTTGAGATCAACTAACCCAGCGTCCTCATTTTATGAATGAGTACCTTGAGAAATTAAAATCACTTTTCTAAGTTTACCATATCAATCAGTGTCAGCAAGGAGCCAGAGACAACACAGTAATTTGAATAGGGAAAGTTTAAGATAAAGAATCACTAATTCTAATAGAAAACTTCTGTTATATAAAGAGATAAAGGGCACTTTAAAGAAGACCCCCCCCCCCCCCCCCCCCCCCCCCCCCCCCCCCCCGGCTGAAGAAAGTTTCCCATAGAAGAAATGAATATGGATTGGGGCGCCTGGGTAGCTCAGTGGGTTAAAGCCTCTGCCTTCTGCTCGGGTCATGATCCCAGGGAGCCTGCTTCCTCCTCCTCTCTCTCTCTCTGCCTGCCTATCTGCCTACTTGTGATCTCTGTCTGTCAAATAAATAAAATCTTAAAAAAAAAAAAAAGTTGCTGTGGCTGATATTGAAGAGGTTACTGCCTATGTTCTTCTCTAGGATTCTGATGGATTCCTGTCTCACGTTGAGGTCTTTTATCCATTTTGAGTTTATCTTTGTGTACGGTGTAAGAGAATGGTCGAGTTTCATTATTCTACATATAGCTGTCCAGTTTTCCCAGCACCATTTATTGAAGAGACTGTCTTTTTTCCACTGTATATTTTTTCCTGTTTTGTCAAAGATTATTTGCCCATAGAGTTGAGCGTCCATATCTGGGCTCTCTACTCTGTTCCACTGGTCTATGTGTCTGTTTTTATTGCCAGTACCATGCTGTCTTGGTGATCACAGCTTTGTAGTAAAGCTTGAAATCAGGTAACGTGATGCCCCCAGTTTTATTTTTGTTTTTCAACATTTCCTTAGTGATTTGGGGTCTCTTCTGATTCCATACAAATTTTAGGATTATTTGCTCCAGCTCTTTGAAAAATACCAGTGGAATTTTGATCAGAATGGCATTAAAAAATACAGATTGCTCTAGGCAGTATAGACATTTTAACAATGTTTATTTTTCTGATCCAAGAGCATGGAATGGTCTTCCATCTTTTTGTGTCTTCTTCAGTTTCTTTCATGAGTGTTCTGTAGTTCCTCGAGTACAGTTCCTTTACCTCTTTGGTTAGGTTTATTCCCAGGTATTTTATGGTACTTGGTGCTATAGTAAATGGAATCGATTCTCTAATTTCCCTTTCTGTATTTTCATTGTTAGTGTATAAGAAAGCCACTGATTTCTGTGCATTGACTTTGTATCCTGCCATGTTGCTGAATGCTGTATGAGTTCTAGTAGTTTGGGGGTGGAGTCTTTTGGGTTTTCCATATAAAGAATCATGTCTTCTGCAAAGTGAGAGAGTTTGACTTCTTCATTGCCAATTTGGATACCTTTTATTTCTCTTTGTTGTCTGATTGCTGTTGCTAGGACCTCTAATACTATGTTGAACAAGAGTGGTGATAGTGGGTATCCTTGTCGTGTTCCTGATCTCAACGGGAAGGCTGCAAGCTTTTTCCCATTGAGGATGATATTTGCTGTGGGTCTTTCATAGATAGATTTTATGAAGTTCAGGGATGTTCCCTCTATCCCTATACTTTGAAGCGTTTTAATCAGCCACAGCAACTTCATTCAAGATATGTCTCCAAAGGCAAAGGAAACAAAAGCAAAAATGAACTTTTGGGACTTCATCAAGATCAAAAGCTTCTTCACAGCAAAGGAAACAGTCAACAAAACAAAGAGGCAACCCACGGAATGGGAGACGATATTTGCAAATGACAGTACAGACTAAAGGTTGATATCCAGGATCTATAAAGAACTCCTCAAACTCAACACACTCAAAACAGACAATCATATAAAAAAAATGGGCAGAAGATATGAACAGACACTTCTCCAATGAAGACATACAAATGGCTATCAGACACATGAAAAAATGTTTATCATCACTAGTCATCAGGGAGATTCAAATTAAAACCACATTGAGATACCACCTTACACCAGTTAGAATGGCCAAAATTAGCAAGACAGGAAACAACATGTGTTGGAGAGGATGTGGAGAAAGGGGAACCCTCTTACACTGTTGGGGGGAATGCAAGTTGGTGCAGCCACTTTGGAAAAGAGTGTGGAGATTCCTCAAGAAATTAAAAATAGAGCTTCCCTATGACCCTGCAATTGCATTACTGGGTATTTACCCCAAAGATACAGATGTAGTGAAAAGAAGGGCCACCTGTACCCCAATGTTTATAGCAGCAATGGCCACGGTCGCCAAACTGTGGAAAGAACCAAGATGCCCTTCAACGGACAAATGGATAAGGAAGATGTGGTCCATATACACTATGGAGTATTATGCCTCCATCAGAAAGGATGAATACCCAACTTTTGTAGCAACATGGACGGGACTGGAAGAGATTATGCTGAGTGAAATAAGTCAAGCAGAGAGAGTCAATTATCATATGGTTTCACTTATTTGTGGAGCATAACAAATAGCATGGAGGACAAGGAGAGATGGAGAGGAGAAGGGAGTTGAGGGAAATTGGAAGGGGAGGTGAACCATGAGAGACTATGGACTCTGAAAAACAATCTGAATATTTTGAAGGGGCGGGGGGGTGGGAGGCTGGGGGAACCAGGTGGTGGGTATCAGAGAGGGCACGGATTGCATGGAGCACTGGGTGGGGTGCACAAATAATGAATACTGTTATGCTGAAAAGAAATAAAAAATTAAAAAAAAAAGAATATGGAAGCCATCCCCACCCCTATAGTTAAGACTCAGACCTCATTGTTGAAGGCATGGTTGTAGCCCAATGCATGGTGGAAAAGTTTTAAAAGGGCTCAACCAGAACTTGTTTATAGTCACTGGGCAAGCAGGAAATGCCCAGCTTGAGTGTAGGAGGCCAAAGCTGGAAGTCAACCATTGGGATGCTTGCAAAACTCAGTGGGAATCTGACCCTGGGAGTGCCTCTAAAATTTGATGGGAAACTGACCACTGGCTGCCATTGGAACTCCATGGGCACAGGGGCCATTGTAAGTTCCCCACACATGCAGCAGGCAGCCATATGGTAGGAACAAGAAGGGATACCAGAAAAGGGGAACCAGAAAAGAAAGACTCTTCCTTCTTCAGCATCTTTCCAGAACGCATTTCTAACATAGCTTAACATTGTGCCAGACAATAAATTGGTAACTAGCATAGTTATCTAGTTAGCTAGCTTCTGAGTAGATTTTCACAAGAGATAAATTAAGAATAGCTCTTTTGTTTCATAACAGAAATCACAATAAGTTTACTGTTAGTCAGTGTAAAAAACCTTGCCTGGAACTCTGTACTTTCTGCTCAATTTTGCTAAAAATAAAGTCTATTTAAAAATTACCCCTTAGAGGTGTCTGGGTGGCTCAGTCAGTTATGCCTCCAACTCTTGGTTTTGGCCCAGGTCCTGATCTCATGGTTTGTGAGATCAAGTTGGGATCCACACTCAGCAGGAATTTGCTTGGATATACTGTCTCCCTCTGACCCTTCCTTTCTCTCTCTCTCTAAATAAATCTTTATTTATTTATTATAAATAAATAAATACAAAATAAAATTACCCCTTAGACTTATACATAACCTTGGAAGACATAACCATTTTATACAACAAGTTCCACTTTTATCAAGGAAGCTTCCTTTGTGAGTCATGGGACAGTTATCTCAAACTCTAGCCACCAAACTTGCAGAGTAAATCTGGAGTTCCACACAGATGCTGGGCAATTCCCAAGGATTTTCCAGATGAAACTTACATAATTTTCTAGGTATCTCAGGATTTTAGAGTTCAGTTTAATCTATTATGGAGACAAATGAGAATACAGCAAAGCCAAGTCTCTAGACTAAGAGGTGAAACAGCTAATGAGAAACCAGCCAAAAAGCACAAACCAAGATAAAGTGGATACCAGCAGGTAGGTCATGCCATAGGTCAGAGACAAAAATCCCACTAAAGAGCAAGACAATGGTGAGGTTAAAGGCTTGTTGGATAGTCTGAAGCTATGCTGGGGAATTGAGAGAGCCACAGAAGTTAACGGGGGTGGGGAAAATGAAGAGATATGAGGTCCCAGCATCTAGCAGACATGCTTCTAATAGAATCTCCTCTCATAGCCAGGGAGTTTCTTTGATTAGAGAGCCATTTCAGTCTTTTGCTTCCTGTTTCAATAATTATCAAGATTAGCTGACTCAGAACTCCAATTGAAAAGAAGAAAAGGAAAATCAGATTAATCTGCATTACATAACAGGAAAAAATAGGCATATCACACATAGCAGAAAGAGTACTAAGGACTAGGAACCAGGGGACCAGAGTTTTAGTCTTAAATCTTCTTGGAATAGTGTATGACTTGGCTAAAACCATTCATTTAACCTCTGTGAGGCTCTGCTTTGTTCTTTGTAAAATTGAACTGGATAGCTTCTGAGGGCTAAGTGAGCTATCAACTTTTAGGGGTCTATGATCTGTGTATTCAACTCATGTGAAATGTTGTAGATATGGATTTTTATGAGTCCAGTACTTGCATGCCAATGGGAAATCAGTAAGGAAGGTCATTAAAATATC